AGCAGAATCTCTACTGCTGCAAAATCCATTCTCTTCTCTTTTTCTTGGTCGGTTCTTCTGTTACGGGTGTGGTGCAGGCAGAGGAAGAGGCAGCAGTCAACAGGTCCAATTCAAATATAATTTACTCAAACAAAACAAGGATCACGGGAAACAGCAACACACCATACACAAACATTACATAAACGAACGAGAACCGACCAGGAGTGAGGGAGAACACAGGGTTTACATAGACAGAGAACAGATTAGGGAAACAAGGCACAGCTGGGGCAAATGAACTAGACACAGGTGAATAAACTAAACACTAATGAGGAGCGGGAAACTGGAAACAGGACTGAACCAAATACACAAAGAACGGGGGAAACACAGGACACACATGTAACACTTGTGGGGTTGACTCATTTAAAATAATGTAATCGTTTGGTTTTAGCCAGGTTTCTGTCAAACACAGCATATCAAGATTATAATCTGAAATCATATCATTAACTATAAGAGATTTTGAAGTAAGGGATCGAATATTCAGCAACCCAAGCTTTATCATTTGCTCATCTGTATTATATCTGTTTTTTATTTGTTGAACATCAATTAAATTTTTAACCTGACGTTTTTTGGATTTCCAAATTCGGGGAACAGACACAGTCTCTATATGATGATATCTAGGTGAAAGAGGCTCTATGTGATGGGATTTATCTGACCTTGGTGACGTGAGGCCGCTAGCAGACGGTCGGTTTAGCCAGTCTGTCTGCTTCCTGACCTGAGCCCCAGATTGTCATGTTTTAGCTCTAAGACTATGAGCCAAATTACTAGAGAGAAGAGCAGCACCAGCCCAGGAGGGATGGATACCATCTCTTTTCAACAGATCAGGCTTGCCCCAAAAACTTTTCCAATTGTCTATGAATTTTATATTATTCTGCGGACACCACTTCGACAGCCAACCATTCAGTGAGGCCAATCAGCTAACTATCCCATCACTCCTGCGAACAGGAAGGGGGCCAGAGCAAATTACAGTGCCTGACATCGTACTTGCGAGTTCACACACCTCTTTAATATTAATTTTGGTGATCTCCGACTGGCGGAGTCGAACATCATTAGTGCCGACATGAATAATGATCTTAGAGAATTTACGATTAGCATTAGCCAGCACTTTTAAATTTGCTTTGATGTCAGGCGCTCTGGCTCCCGGCAAACATGTGACTATGGTGGCTGGTGTCTCTATTTTCACGTTCCGTGTGATCGAATCACCAATTACCAGGGCACAATCAACAGAATTCTCAGTGGGTGTTTCACTGAGTGGGGCAAATCGATTTGTAATGGGAATCGGAACGGAAGAGTGGTTCTTTGATCCGCGACTAGAGCGGTGATCTCTCACAGTCACCCATCTGCCCTGCTGCACGGGCTCTACTTCAGCCGGAACTGAATCATGTAAAGAGTTCTCTATGCTAGGCGCATCCAAAACACTATCTAAAGATCTAGCATTCTTACCATCCTCAATTAAAGTTTGGATGCGTGTCTCTAGTTCTGAAATCTTCTCCGTCAGCCTGACTGTCTCCTTGCATTTATCACATATAAATCCTATATTGCCATCGGAGAAGGCTATACTAAACATATGACATGTGACACAGGTGACAATAACAGGACAAGAAGACATTACTCACCGTGTTTGTTGACTGATTTCTTACTTACCTGGACTTTATGAACTCAAAAGGCGCGGGCGCGCGAGAGAAAATAAATATATAAATGAGCGCACGGGTGGCGCGTTAGCAGGCTAACGTTAGCGAGTTACTAGCGTGCTGTGTTAACAATAACGGAAGCTAGAGATGTAAGGTTAATCTGAGATGTTGGGTAAGCTGTATTTAGTAGTATAAACAACTAGATAGTAAATGATGGCTCAAAACATAAAGAAATACGAGGCTCAGGCGGAGCTTACAGCCTCGAAGCAAACAAACACACAGCAGGCAGCGAGGCAGACAGGAGCAATCGATCAGCGATCCAAATGTGCCCGCTGTCCTGCGCCCACATTCACTCACAGACATGTTAAGCCCCACGGGGCTCGCCCCGCTCTCTCTCCCTCAGCAAACTGCTATAAGGGCAAACTGCTATCACACACTGTAAACACAGTGTCTGCGTTACAGCACGCCGGAGCTCCCTTGCCGTCACTATGTCACTATGTCCCGAATTTTTGAATATATTTTTTTATATATAAGGCACTTAAATGCACATTTCTAAAGACTTATGGGAACAGACTGTATTACTTAGTTTGGTTCTAAGCAGTGATTAAATTGTGATTTATTATGTGTGCTCTCCCTAGGGGGGTCCGGGGGCCGTGACATTTTTTTGAAAAATAAACCATTAAATGGCACTTTCTGGAGAGTTTTGTGCAAAGAAATTGAGAAAATGAGTCTTACATGATATGTGAAAAACTGCTAGGTTAAGATACTTTGCATTGTTGTAGTATCAACAGGTATTAGGACATTTAGCATTTACATTACTGTTAATCAGTCATGTACTGATTAACTAAAATTAAAAACTCAAATAAATGGTTGATTTAATTTCCATTAACCACCTAGCTTACCCCCCAAGGATAGAATGAAAAATAAAATCAATCTTTCCTTGTGGAAAGGTTCCTTGGTAGCTAAAAGTAGGTCTAGCAAGTCTTATATTTCTGTAATTCACACAGATCAAACACAAATATGCTGCCTGAATAGATTGCTAGTTTATTTTGAGTAGCCAGCTAGCAGTTCTCTTGGCAGTTTGCTAATAATCCGGTGTCCGAAGTAAAATGCTCAAAACATCTCCTGAGAAAAATCACATGGCCAACCTAGTCTTGGTTATTTAATTTAGATTTAGTCTTATTTTCCTTACCTTGTCATTCAAGGCCAGGGCACTTTATGTACATTTTTGGAACTTTTGCACGCTTCCACATCCCGCGCAACTAGGATCTCCCAGGAACACTCATTATATATCGCTGCGTACATTTATCCGTGTCACCTAGATGCGCATGCGCGAGCGGTGCGCGATCATGGTCGACTGAGTTAAGCTAGTTAAGCTTGTTTGCCCCTGTGTATTTATAGCCCTTGTGTTTCACTTGTTACTTTGTCAGTTGTTGTACATGTATGGTTGCTTCTAGTTCGGTCCTTCTCGTGGTTTTATTTCTTTGTCCTTGGAGTTCTTTATTATTTGTTCTATGTGTTATTTCATTAAACACCCTGCTGATAGATCCTCGCCTTCACCTGCTTTCTCCAGCAACGTTACAGGTGGATGGAAACAGCTATCAATGCAAACTTCATAAAATTTTAGACAAGTTCAAATTCAGCATTAAGCAGTTTTACAGAAGACAATAGTGTCATTATTCAGCTTGAATTCAGTTAAATGTTGATTCAGTTCAATAACAGTGTCGATGTTGTTCACAATTATGAAACAAAGTCAAATAAGCTATAAAGCGGCTCTAGTGTCATCATTGTTCAAGTTTTGTTCTCGTCCGATAGTGTCAGTGCAGTGACATAAAAAATTTCACTTTTTAATTTTGAATCCTCAACTGAGCAAACCAGAGGCGACAGTGGCAAGTAACCCAAACCCCTTCGGCCCCTGAGAGAAACCAGGCTTAGTTGAAGGGCCAGTTCTCATCTAGCCAACATGGTGTGATATAAAGTTTGGTCACATTCACTGTTGTTCAGCATTTTTTTTTTTTGTGGCCTAAATCCTGTCATTTCAATACGGATCTACGCAATCTGGGGATGTCATATAAGATTGACAGATTTTGAAACAAATTGGTCATCATGTTGACCAACAGAAAGCTTCTCGAATGCCTAGTTCACACTACACGACTTTAAACGTCGGCAGATCGCTGTGCTGTTTAGACTACATGACTTGCTCTGGAGTCTTGAAGTCGTTGTGGTGTTCACACTGCGTGAATGATCTGCAACATGGTGTTACACACTACACGAGCTGACAACAACTCTGTCAGCCAACGACTCTATCCGGTCCCCAAACCATGTTTTGTCACGAAAACTCACGCGAGAAGTGGAATGGGAAATTACCCGAAATAGGACTTGTCTATTTGAAAATGGACGCCGGGACAAAATTGGCATTGCAAAAAAAAAGCAGCAAAAAAAGTTTGCGCAATGATCTGTTTAGAACCCCGACAAAAGAAAAAACAGAATATGGGTGAAAGGATGGATAACACACGTGGGCAGCAGGGACTGTCTGTGCTACAGAGAGAGTTGGAGGAGAGTAAAACATGTTTCTAATGGAAAAGCCGCTGCCTGCTCGTGTTGTGGTTTGGCAACGATGGTTACAAATACAAAAGGCTTGTGTAATGTGATAACAAGCTGATCATTGGCTGTTGCTCGTCACGACACCACAGGCTATCGAGTCGGCCGACAGCTCCAGATATTTAGCATGCTGGATATTTATCTGGCGTCGGCAAGGCGTCAGCGAGCGTTTTTGATGCGTCGTTTAGTATTTCACACATAAAGATTGGCGAGCGCGGATCACCGCAGGTTTGCACGCGATTACAGCCAGACGGCGAGCTTGTTAACTTGCAACTTAAAATCCTGTAGTGTGAACTAGGCATTACCGAATTATTTTCAGGACGTTGTGTTCCATTAACGTTCTGCATTTTTGTAAGTTAATTGGGAGCTTTTCAACAGAACTAACTAGAAAAAGCATAAAAGTAGTTCATATCTCAGGCAGCCCACATCTGGTACGTGTGGATGCCGACACTATTCTGCTGTCTGGGATGTCTTCTGATGCCATGTGATAGCTTTATGTGAGGACCAGGCTGAAATTTAATTTAGTACTCTCTGAAAATCATTTTTGTGTGTGAACTGTCCCTTTAAAAGAACCGTTATGTCTTTAATGTCTGTGTGTGTTTGTATATTTATGGAAGTGCAGCACAGTGTAACAGGTATCATGCTGACATGGTGTGAAAAGAGTTATTAATAACAACAAGTTTATTTTGACAGTGTTGCTGTATGATCGGAAACAGCTTTTTCTCTCTGCAGATGCCAAAGTCAATATCAGGGACTACCATGGGAAGATGGCAGCTCATTACTGGAATGGCAGCAAGGATCTTTTTACAGAACACAGATCTCATTCTGGTACTTAAAAGTTCTAGTTACTATTCAATGTATCACATTTGCAGATTTGTGTTTATAATAATGACTAACAAAATCATTTAGTGTATTATGTCATCATTGTTGTGCTGTTGGTTGTTTGAGGTGATTGACAGCTGTTTTCCTCCACTCAGCGGGCAGCTTGTCGAGGGGGAGGCGGGTCCAGTGCTACACACAGCTGTCTGCCCTCCTGTCTCGCTCTCATAGTAACAGGAACATCAATGCAGAGGCGTCCGGCCGTCCACTAGAGCCCACTCCCTTAAACCGGTCATGCTCATCCTGATACCCACATCCCGCATTAACCACTGCTCAGTATTTGTGTGGAAAAACTCTTATCTACATGTTTTCATATGACCCTCTTAGAGTATTGAATAAAATAAGACAATGTCACTGTTTAAAGGAAAATACATTTGCTGTCATCATTTACTCACCCTTACTGTATGTCATTCAACTTATATGCTTTTATGTATATACAGTGTATATATATATATATATAGGGTGATATATGATATATATATATATAGGGTGTGATATATATATATATATATATATATATATATATATATATATATATATATATATATATATAATGATATATACTGTATAGGGTGAATTCAGGTTGATTGGCACACTTTTTCTAATCTATATATTTAAAGGTTTAAAGGGTTCAGAAGACTTCTAAGTGAAAAAGAATAGCACTTAATTGTACTGAATCTTGTATTGTACTTCAAATCTTAATACTTGAAGTAATAAAAAGATTTGCAGATAATATTATTAATTAAATAAAAGTCACTTAAGTGTACTAAAGAGAGTACATTTTCATGACTGCTTCCTAACACACTTGTAATAATGTCAAATTAAATGTTTTACTTTAAAGTACATTTTAATTCATTATGGTTTAATAATCTATTGTGCTTTACAGAAGTGTGTTTATTTTAATGTGTCAACTAACACATGTAAAGTATTTAATTTCAATTTGAACTCTTTTTGTTATTTGATATTAAATTACCGTTAATATATTTATTTCTTCATCATTACAAATGAGTAATTACAAATATATTTAAATACATGATGAAACAACAAAATATTCCAATGCACTCACATGGTTAAGCATAAAAAAGCTTTTAAAGGTAGTGTAGGCAATTTTCGGAGAGCCTACCAATAGCAAGCTAGCTTTGAAAGCATGAGATCTTACCCACGATTCAGAGCGTCTCCAAAGCCACGCCTCCTTCAAAACACATGAACGCACACATGGAGGAAACGCAGCATAAGCTGGTTGCTTTAGTTCAGGAGGAACTGTAAAAGGCGGCTGCTGTTTCGTTTGCGGTGCTCAGTGACTGTCTGTCTACAACTCTGCATAGCATAATGTGTGATGTCTGCAGTGCCATTAGGTCAGCTGCAGGGTCGTTGCCCTTAACAGGTAGCTGAGCCTGGATTGTGGTGTCCTCCAGATGTCTGTCCCAGGTGATGCGCCTATTCACAGTCAGGTCCCATTGCGTCCAGGCTCCTTGACTGCCCTGAGATATTGCCTTTACGTAAAAGCGCTCCTGGTCCAACCTGGTAACTTTATCCACCACCATGGTCTTCTGCTGCCTCGTGGTGGCTTTAGACCAGAGCTGCTGAGGTGCTCCCCAGCCTAGGCCAGCTCGACTGGTCTGGACTAACCCCATCACCTCTCGATGTTGCAGACTGGAGATAGCATGCTCTACTTCAGCTTGCGCCTTCCATTTACGGCCTGTGCGGATAGGGACCTTCCCAGTCCATATAAGTGGGTCCGCTGAGTCCTCTAGCTCCAGTACAAGGCGTGCCTTCTCTTTCTTGTACCCTAGGCTGATGGATTTGATGGGGAGCTCCAGCATCTTCCGACCGAAGAGACCTGCGTCCGAAAAGCAACGGGGCGAGCCCAACCACTTTCGAATATAGCTAATGGCGAGGCTGTCCATCCTGCTAACCTCCGATATGGGAATTTCACAGACCTTTAGAGGCCACAGCACGAGTTGGTATATCGTGTGCTGGTAGCACCACACTTTGTGCTTCCCAGGCAGGTGGCTTCGCTCAATTCTTGCCATGCCCTCTGCAAGTTGTTGCCTGGTTAGCTCCCGAAGAGGGAATGGTCTTCCCTCCAGCAACAAAGATGATCATGGCATGCGACAAACCTTTCCTTATCGAAAGACTTCTTGATTTTTCAGCCTTGCTCTTCATTCTTGCCCATTTGAGCAGCTCGTCAAAGCGCTTAAGGAGCCTGTTCGTGCATGGAGCCGTCTGAAAGATGCTTGTTACGTCATCCATGTAGCTCCTCAATGGTGGAAGCCTCTCGCCTGATGGTAGCTTGATGCCCCTGACAACCTGCCTGGCCCCTCTGAGGATTACCTCGAAGGCTAAAACAAATAGGATGGGGGAGATGGCACACCCCATGGCAATCCCACATTCCAGCTGTTACCATCCTGTCGTGTAGGCCTCCAGAGTGAAGCACATGTGGAGGTTGCTGAAGTGATGATGTTCTGCATACCACCTGGGACATATATATATATATATATATATACAGTATATATATATATATATATATATATTGTGACGGGCGGAAGTATCACGCGACAAGGAGAGCTCAGATTAATTGTTTATTTACAAGTGGAATAAGTGCAGAGTGCAAGTTGAAGAGTGCAGAGTGAAGAGCGGCTTTCTTGAGGTGAGGCGGTATTCTCTATTCGAGGTTTCCTTGGTGCGGTGAATCGGTGCTGTGCTCGTAACGGGTCTAGCTCGGTCACACGCTGGTTTCTGGAAAAAGAACAAGAGACGACACATTAGTTCTCAGCTTTCAAGAAGCCTATTCCTCCCCGTTGTTCAGCCTCATGTCGCTTATATGGCCGTGTGGGAATTGATGACAGGTGTGGCCGAGCGAGCCATGATGAGCGAGCACAGGTGTTTCGCGTCTTTCTCCAGGGCAACGCTGATGAGTGCACAGGACGATCGTCACACTCCCCCCTCCTAAGCGTTGTCCTGGTCCTGGTGGAAACATACGGAAGCAACAAGGGGGAAACTGGGGGTGGGCGGGGAGTGACCCCTGACAGACCTGAAAAGGCTGACCAAATCCGCGAGAGTCCGTCTGCATTGGCGTTGGAAGATCCGGCTCGGTGGCGGACGATGAAGCAGAAGTCCTGGAGCGCCAGGAACCACCGCGTCACTCTGGCGTTGGTATCCTTGGCCTTGGCCATCCACTGAAGGGGTGCGTGGTCTGTGAGGAGGGTAAACTTACGGCCGAGCAGGTAGTACCGCAGCTCCAGGACTGCCCACTTTATTGCCAAAGCCTCTTTCTCAACCGTGGCGTAGTTCTTCTCGGCCTTTGTCAGTTTCCTGCTAATAAACAGAACAGGATGTTCCTCATTCTCCGTGACTTGGGACAGGACAGCTCCCAACCCTGTCTCGGACGCATCCGTCTGCAACAGGAAGGGGCAGCCGAAATTGGGGGCGTGCAGGACCGGTTCCTCTGTCAGGGCATCTTTGATTCGCTGAAATGCCTCTTCTGCCTCGGAACTCCAGGCGACGCGCTCAGGCTGCCACTTTTTGGTTAGGTCTGTCAGGGGGGCGGCTAACGAGGAGAAGTTGGGGATGAAGCAGCGATAATATCCTGCTAAGCCCAGGAAAGCCCGCACCTGGGTCTTCGTTCCGGGCCTTTGGGCGGCGTGGACGGCCTCCACCTTTTTCTCTTGTGGCTTAATGAGGCCCCGTCCAACCTGGAAGCCCAGGTACTTTGCCTCGAAGAGGGCCAGGTGACATTTGCGAGGGTTGGCGGTGAGTCCAACCCTTCGAAGATCCGTAAGCACCCTCCGTAGATGGTCTAGGTGGTCCTCCCAACGCTCCGAATGAATGACTACATCATCGATGTATGCTGCTGCGTACTGCTGGTGTGGCCGAAGGATGATGTCCATCAGCCTCTGGAACGTGGCCGGTGCCCCGTGAAGCCCGAAGGGAAGGGTCCGATATTGCCAGTGGCCAGTTGGAGTTGAGAAGGCGGTTTTTGGTTTGGCGGCTTCTGAGAGGGGTACCTGCCAATAACCCTTCGTCAGGTCCAGGGTGGAAATATACCGGGCCTTTCCCAGGCGGTCTAGGAGTTCATCCACCCGGGGCATTGGTTATCCGTCAAACTCCGAGACTTCATTGAGGCGGCGGAAATCGTTGCAGAAGCGGAGGGTGCCATCTGGTTTCGGGACCAGGACGATTGGGCTGGACCACGGGCTGCGAGATGGTTCGATCACCCCCAACTTCAACATCTGCTGGATTTCCTCCTCGATAGCCTGCCGACGAGCCTCTGGAATACGGTAGGGCCGTTGTTTTACAATGACCCGCGGCGGGGTTATAATGTCGTGTTGTACCAGACTGGTTTGCCCGGGGACTGTAGAGAACACATCCGAAAACTGACCAATCAGGTGTCCCAGTTCAGCCTTTTGTTCCCCCGACAGACTTGGGTTGGTATCCACCAAAACGGACTCGATGGTGGCAAGAGCTACGGTCTGTTCTCTGGTCCCCACCCACCTCTTCAGCAAGTTTACGTGGTATAGCTGCTCAGGGCTCCGTCTCCCAGGTTGCCGTACTCGGTATGTTACAGGTCCCACTTTCTCTACAACTGTATACGGCCCCTGCCAAGTGGCCAGGAACTTACAGGCTGCGGTGGGGACTAACAGCATAACTCGATCGCCTGTTTGGAACTCTCGGGGCTGAGCTGTACGGTTATAGTGGCGCTGTTGAGCCTGCTGGGCTTTTACCAGATGTTCACGGACTAGGGGCATGACGCGGTCGACCCGTTGTCTCATCTCGGCGACGTGCTCTACTAGGGACCGGTGCGGGGTGGGCTGCTGGTGTTCCCACGCCTCTTTCGCCACGTCGAGCAGCCCTCGAGGTTGTCGTCCGAAGAGGAGCTCGAAGGGGGTAAAGCCCGTGGACGCCTGGGGCACTTCCCGTATACCAAACAGAACGTAGGGCAACATCTGGTCCCAGTCCCGTTTATCTTCGGCTGCCACCCGTCGCAGCATTTGTTTGAGGGTCTGATTGAAACGTTCGACGAGTCCGTCCGTCTGAGGATGGTACACGGTCGTCTGCAGCTGCTTCACTTGGAGTAAGCGGCAGAGATTGGCCATTAGCCGGGACATGAACGGTGTTCCCTGATCGGTCAAGATCTCCACCGGTATACCCACTCGGCTAAACAGTAGGAAGAGCTCGTGGGCGATATTCTTCGCAGTGGCTTTCCGGAGGGGAATTGCTTCGGGGTAGCGGGTGGCGTAGTCGACCACGACGAGGATGTGTTCGTGTCCCCGGGCTGACTTTGGTAATGGCCCTACCAGATCCATCCCGATGCGCTCGAAGGGCACTTCAATTATGGGCAGCGGTATGAGTGGTGTGGGAGGTGGTG